AACTATAACTCTGTGGTATAATTTGAAGTCAGGTAGTGTGATTCTTCCAGGTTGTTCGTTTTGCACAAAATGGCTTTGGCTGTTCTGGGTCTTTTGTAGTTCTGTATAAATGTTAGGATTAATTTTCTATTTCTGTGAAGAAACAGATAAAACACAATTTTGATGGCAGGCTCAGCATGGCATTGAATCCTAAGATTTTGATAGGGATTGCATTGAATCTGTAGTTGGCTTTAGGCAATATGGATAATTGAACAGAATTGGTTCTTTCAATATATGAACATGGAGTATCTTTCCATTTTCTTGAGTCCTCTGTAGTTGCTTTCATTGTAACAGTAGAGAGCTTTCACTTGTTTGGTTAAGTTTATTCCTAGCCATTTAATTTTATTTGCAGCTGTAGTAAATGGAATTACTTAGTTTCTTTTTTGGATTTTTTGTCATATAGAAATGCTACTGATTTTTGTATGCCACAACTTTACTGAATTTATCAGTTCTAGTAGTTTTCTTGTGGAGTTTTTAAGCTTCTCTAGACATATGATCATATCATTTCCACACAAAGATAATTTGACTTCTCCCTTTCCAATTTCTATGCCCCTTCTTCCTTTCTCTTGTCTGATTGCTACATGTCCATCAGTGGATATGCCCCTTCTTCCTTTCTCTTGTCTGATTGCTAGAACTTCTAGTATGTAGTACTATGTTGAATAACAGTGGTGAAAGTGGTCTACCACTTTACTGTTCCAGATCTTAGAGAAAAGGCTGGTACCCAAATTTCAAGACAGACTCTTCCCTTTCCTTTCCCCATGTGGAATAAGATTCTTCTTGAGCTGCACTGGCTCTGTTGGGCTCAGGTAGGCCAAGTGTACCATCTACATTCACCAGTACAAACTTGAATATATGTTGATGACAGATATCTTTTTCTTAGTGTTGACCTGGGGAATATCTCTCAGTAATGAGTATGATGTTTGCTACAGATTTTTGGTCAGGATAAGAAAGTTCTCTTTTGTTCCTAATTTTTAAAAAGTTATTTTTTTCTTTCTTAAGTTGAGTATTGAATTTTACTAAGGGCTTTCCTGCATCTTGTGAAATAATATGATTTTTTTCTCACATATTCTGTAAATGTAATGAGTTATATAAATTGTCTTATAAATGTTA